CCCCCCCCTCCCCTCTGCGCTCCCGGAGACTAAGAGTCCTGTACACTACAGTATAGGACTCTACCGGAGACAGACCGCGAATCATGGGGTAGGGCGTCATCACCGTCACTCAATGGGAACGAGTGGAGGGAGGGACAGCTGCTCGTAACTTATTGGTCCATAATGATCTTCGCCCTGATTACATACATCATTTTAAATAGGCAAACTGGGGGGGGGGGTGTAATACAGTATTCCAGCACATCCTATTGAAGCGTTAGCGTCGGTTGAAAGTTTAGGGCAGCATACACTGTGCTGCTCAGATACATTGCCTTGTACTCAAGGCATACAGTATTCGAGCTCATCTCGTTGATGTACTGGTTGAAAGTTTAGTATGGCACAGATGGCGTTGCTCAGATACCTCTATCAAGGCATGCAGAAGCTGCAAACAAAACCACTCCAAGGATATGTCGTGAGAGTTTGATTCTTGTACCTGGTTTACAGAAACCTACGTTTCTTAGACGTCCAGACCAGATTGCAAAGTAAAACTAAAACAGCTGCTGCGGCTCAGGTTACGCACCCTGTAGCTGAAAAACAAATCAGCCCAACTTCTACACTGATGACCCAACCTAATCTTTCAAGGCACACCTAACCATTGTTGTTATCAGGGGCTTATTTGTTATAGCTGGAATTTACCACAAAATGTTAGCAAGGTGTTCAAGAATGGAGTCAAGCAGTCAGTGGGGTAATATTAGCGTACATCGAGTTGAGGCATAATGCCTTCCAGCAAGGGCATCGGCTAGACATCAAACCGGGCTAATGCAAGCCTAGCGTCTAGCGTTGTCTAGTGCGGTAGCAAGGTTAGGGTGCCCGTTCGCGTCGTCATTGAGAAATTCGTTGTCACGCCAAAATCTTTAAAAGAAGCAGTAGCATGTAACGAAAAATATGTTGAAGTGAGACAAACAACGGAAAACAATGGCCTGGAATTCGCCGTCAAAGCGAAACTATAATTTTTGTTTTGCATACGTTTATCTTTGATGCTATCGTCGAGAACGTGAAATGGCCAGAAGAAATATTTACCTCACAGAGAAAGAGGGCTCTTTCACTTCCAGAAGAAATCGGTTGAAGAATGTTCAGAAAAACACTGTTTTCAGTAAGTTCGGAGACTGCTAATTGCAATTTAAGAAAAAACTAGGCGTTCACTTTTGGTCTGCTAAAGAGTGGCTGTCGCTATGCAGTGGAACCACGACCACCACGAAACGGAGTAAAATAGAGACGCGGCTTCGGCTCTGCGACCGAACCACGTTACGAAGCTTGCAAGACATGCCGCCGCCGGCGCTGTCATCGGTAGGGCTCAAAATTGTTTTCCGACATTAGGACTTGACTACGAGGGATAGGGTGGTTTGGTTCATCACATGTTAGAACCAGAACTAGAAATTAAGTATGAGGTTTTGCATCAAATAGTTTCATCAAGAACATTCTAAGGGATAGGTAAAGAAGCAAGAGCGTTACTAGCGCTTACCTAGCGGTGCTTTTTGACAACAACTCGTGGACCGGCCGACGTTCACGGTGGTTCACGCTCCGAGCTCGAGCAGCAGCAACAAAAACAACAAGGAAAGTTGTATTCAAGGAGGCAACTTACTTGTAATACAAACTGCGTGTAGACATTTTTTTATTCAGACACAAATTAAGTTCAAACGCTAAATTATATATTTTATTTAACTGAACTAACAGTTCAAAATTATTCTTTAAAGAGTGGCGCTTCAAACACCTTGATAGAGATCTTCTAATGCCTTCACAGTTTGGTAGGCTTATGTTGTCAAACTGTTTGGATAAAGAAAGGAAGGGCGGAAAGGCAAAAAAATATTGGAGTCGGTGGAATTGAATTGGAGGGAATATGCTACTTTCTAACTTTTTTAGCTTGAGACAGTAATTTTGAAAAGAATTTACTACTTTAGAAAATTAACTTGCACTTGTTTCAACAAAAATACACTTTGGTCAAAAGAATTCAAGGTAAGTTCGTCACACGGAGGATATTTGATATTTACTTTATATCTTTATATACTTTGAAACAACCCTATTTCTTTCACCTTATCTTGAGAAATTAATAATGACTATTGTTCCATGACTAGATGGCTGGTTCCGGTTATAATGACTTACACCGTATGTACCTACAAGCCTTAATGAGTAGAGCTATTATCTCTAGAACTTCAGCTATTAGGTTGCTCAAAGAAGTTTCCCTATTACTAGGTAAACACAACATGCATTAAGATGTTTTTGAGTGCACCTGTTTATCAACTCTAACTTTATTTGTTTGCTCTTTCAGGCTATCGAACCCCCATTAAGGATGATGATGTGACCGAGACAATTGCTGAAATTAACCGAAAGATTTCAGAGTTTGGTCAAGAAATCAAGGAGATCCGAGCTGAAAAAGATGGGCAACAATTTGTAGTTTTGGTTAATGTTGTTGACAACTCATCTATTTTTGAAAAGTAAGTTAATTCTCCCCTACCAATATATTTGTGTCTGTTAATTTAGCTAATTGTCACGGTATCTTGTCCCTAGGCTCAACCATACTTACACCCTGAAGGAAAGAGAGATGTTTAGATTATTACTGGAAGCTGTTGTCATGGCTGGAACATATGGCTCTGTGTCCACTATGGATGCTCTTCACTTGAATGTTCCTAACATGAAGGCTGGGGATATCCAAGATACCATTGACAAATTAATTTCTGATCAGTGGTTTATTGAGACGGTCAGCCTCCTCTTATATAATTGCATTCCACAATCATCAATTTTAACATTTTGATGCATTAGTAATCTACTTTCTGACTTCTTAGGATTCTGGAATTCTTGTGCCTGCACCACGATTGATTGCAGAGTTCGATACATACCTCAAACACAATTTTCACGACCATGTAACTGTTTGCTTGTGCAATAATGTAGTCTTTTATGTAAGTATGCACTTCTTTTTAATTGAAAACTATTTTAAATTGTGCTTTGCAAAATTTATCTTTTATGTTTGTTTAATGCCCCTTCCCCTCTTTTTCCACAGGGGGTACAATGTCCACAATGTGATGCTATTAGCCACACACATTGCTTTTTAACATTCAATAAGAGGCAACAACCACATGAAAGGAAGTGCCCATCCTGTAAAACTATTATTCATAATGAAGCCAATGGCAATGACAGTGGTGAAGATGAAGAAGAAACACCACGACAGAGGAAACGCCATTCTAGCCAGGGGGCTGGTCGGCCTAGAAAAAGTAAGACTCCTGATACACCTCTGAACACCCCTGCTGTTCATGTTCGGGAGGCTGCTGATGCAGGTGAACCCATGGACACCACTCCTGTTCCCACACGGCCAAGACGCAAGCGTCGCAATGATCAATAGGCTTTGTAATGCAGTTAATGTCAACACCTTATATTGTCTGAAATATTTACTGTATTTTGTTTTGACTCTTTTGTTCATTGAGTGTTGATCACAAGTAAGCAAGGTCATCTACCTATTGCATTATTTTTCATTTGTTAATTTTACCTGCCAGATTTATTACCAAGTTTTGCACTCTTTTTCCTACACTGGATATGGTAACAATAAATATTTTGTCCATAATTTACTGTTTTCTTATATTATGAATAAAAAAATTGCATACATTTAAAAACTTATCTAATGATTTATCTGCTCTAAAACACCCTGAATTATTAATGGTTCACACTGTGCTCTGGACATAAGATGAGTACTATGTTTCTTTAAAAGAACTACTTCACCATTATCCAATTCAAATTTACCATAGTCGATAAGACTACGAACCTGGGGAAACAGATGAAAAACAAATATTGAGCTTAAAGTATAAAACAACCTGACAAAAGGTATGTGCAGAAGCGCTCACCTCGACATAAAGAGACTTAGGCGGCTTTACATCCTGTGCAAGATTTAGACCCTGTCCACCAATAGACTTCATGTAACGTGCGAGACATTTGCTGTAACTGTTGAACCACTGAATCTGTAAAAAATCAGACTTCAGCACATCTGTATCTACTTAAATGTTTTAATTTGTAAAAATTTGCACTGTTGATGCTCACCTCGGGTTCACAAAGATTTGCTTTGATCTCAGGAGGAAGAATGCTTCCAAATTGCCATCGCATGTTTCTTAATTTTTTACTACGGTTAAACCTGTAAATAAAATTTCAAATTAAATGAAGAAAGGGTGCTTGTAAAAACATCTGTAGGAAAAATATTGAATACGTACACATAGGCCATCAGACACCTTTTGTTCCTTTCAAGTGCTGCATGCCTGATTGCTATACTAGATATGGCTGTTCCATCTGGATCTGCAGTACTGTCATTCCTAGATTTTTTTAAAGAAGAAACATTAAGTATTAATTATTACGTTTGTTAGGACATGGCTTGCTCGGAAAATTTTATACTTACGCAGCAGCAACATTTTGATCATATAGGCCACGCATTTCTTCGAAAACTTGTCTGACTCCATCATCCTAAAAAACAAAAACTTGAACTTCAGAAACAAGAAGCATTAAATTACTAAACAAAAATCAACTATACCCAATATTCTTAAAAATATTTGATATGGCATTAAAGTCAGGCATAACTAATAAATTGATGGACTACATACATCTGACAAATGAATGAAAACAACTGTGAATGGAATAAGAGGGGCAAGTAAATGACAACAACGCTGGGTCAATGTAAGAGGCATAACCTCCACCTCCACCTCTATGTAGCACAATTATTTTATTTTTTAAAACAACTTACGTCGAAAGGTGGCATAGCCTCCTGCGAACGGCCCAACTCCTTGATGAGTTTTAGGGATTTCTCACAAAACATGTCGAATAGAGACACTGAGCTCAGACAGACTACAAGAAGAACAGCTGGGCCAAAAAGAGCCGCTTTTGTTTACATTTGGTTGCCGCCAAATTCAAGGATCCAAGGCTAACTTCAGAGGCCGGGGTATGTCTGGTAGGAGCGTGCGTGAAGGACTCTTGCGGCGTGGGGTACCGCCGTGCTAACGCCACCAACGCCACTGCTCCAGAGTGGGAGCGAACACGAAACGACCTTCCAGCTATCTAAGGTCTCGCTGCGGGTGGCTAGCTAGTAGCTAGGCTGTGTTGCTGTTTAGAGTAGCACATCTGCCCCTAGTTGCCCGACTCGTATGAGCACCTTACCCCATTCGGTGGCGAGGTGGCAGCGCGTAGTGGGAACCATAACATGCAAATTTTCTCGTGCGTTTCGGTTAAAATGAGTAGTCCTATCGTCTTCGGTGTGAAAAATTAACTCCCTACCATACAAGTTTTATCAAAAATAACACCAAACTAAGGGCGTTTGAGATATTTCAGCGACTAGAGGCTTCTGCTTTATTATGGTTCCGCCGAATGGGGTAAGGTGCTCATTGATGTAACTGCATTCGCGTGACTGTATCAGAGCGGACGAAGCCGTGTTGCGGGTTTTCCTAAATCTCTCTTCTGGTCAGGCGCAATGACGCCTACAGCCTAAGAGGGTATGTAATAACACGACACTGCGGCCTCTGCTCTGACACACCCGGTACTTTGTAGTTCGCATAATTGTTCCAAATATTCCTCGAGTCAAACCATATATTTTTCCAACCATACTCCAGCAGCCTCCAGCACAGCGCTCTCGTATGGAGACAGTCTCTCACAGGCCTTCCGCCCCTCCCGCCCCTCGACTATCCCCCAGGTCTTCCCTCCTTCTCCCCTCTCGCGGCTGCGATATCCAGCTATTTTTCCACTATTAACACCGTCACCCCCGAAAGCTGGCCTCGCCCGACCCCGCCCCGCACTACGGCCACTCCCGCCTTCCCCGACCCCTCCTCCTCCTCCCCCTCCCCTTTGCTATAGTGTACAAAGCCCGCAAATTCCCTGCGCGTCTTCCATTTCCCCCCATATATCTCGCACAGATCCTCTGTTTGTCTTTTATAATGTGCTCGCCTCGGAAGCCCCCCGCGCGCCCCATGTGATTTGTGGGCAGACGTGCGCCAGACAGGGGCAGGCCGGGCGGGGCCGGCGGCGTGCGTGTGGGAGTGAGCGAGCGCGAGGGTGGCGCGGCGTGCGCGTGAGGGCGCGAGGGAGAGCGAGACAGATAGACGCCACATTTTGTTCATATTATGTCGAGTGCGCCGCGCTGCTGCTGCGGCTGATGTCCCGCGCGCGTTGAGCACGGTGAGCTGCGGTGCGCCCCTGGCGCTCTTAGTGCGTGAGCGTGCAGAACCCCCAAAAACCACCCCCCGCCGCGCGTCACACCGAATCATGCGTCACTCTTCTGCGCGAAAGCCCGTGGGGACCGGCGGCAAGAAATCACGCGCCATCGTTAGGTCGCCACTCGTGGAGCTGCACCGGCAACGGACGGCCTCCCCCTCGGAGTGCGAACGCCCGTTGTGTTCGGAAGCGCCACTTCCCGAGCGCGGCGCTCTCTGAGGAGGAGGAGGAGGAGGAGGAAGAGGAGAAGGAAGAGGAGGAGGGTGCGCTCCACCCCCCACCCCCTTCTCCCGCTAACGCGCGGTACCAGTACATCTCCGCAAGAAGGCTGGCGCGCGTCCGCGGCAGCGAGTCAACCGACCGTTTCCGCCCACTCCGGACTCCGGGTCGCGACCCCTCGCATCTCTCTCTCTCTCTCTCTCTGTCTCTCTCTCTCTCTCGCTCTCTCCACGGTCACTGCGGCTCTAATGACGCGAGCAGACGACGCCAGCGACGCGTACTACAATGACGACAAGTGATTACGGCGCGCAGCGCCGGGCTCGGCTCGGAATCTCATTGAGAGGGACGACCCTCGCGGGGCTGCGTCAGAGAGCGAGCGAAAGGGAGGGAGCGAGTGAGCGGGGGGAGCGAGAGAGACGGCGGGGCGGACGCAGCCGCCGTGACGACCCTGCACGTGTGTGTTGTGCGCCGAGCTGCGCCGAGCCGCGCCGAGCACGACCCCCTGGGGGTGTCCCCACACTGCCGCCCGTCGTGTCTCTCTCGCTCCCCCCTCGCTTTCTCTCTCACTCTCTTCTCCCTCTCCCCTCTGCACCCACGCCGAGCCGCCGTGATCCCGTCGCTCAGACAATGGCGGCTGGCGCGGTGTGTTCCGTACGGCCGCGCGTTCCGAAAGCGCTGCCTTCCGGCCCCGCGCCGTAGTGCGCCATGCGGGGGAGGGAGAGAGGAAGTCCCAACGGCGACGCCCGCGCCTCGCACGCAGCCCCTGATGTCCTGGTCGGGGCGGGGTCGAGGCAGGATCACATCTTACTGCCGCCGCTGCTCCCGACGCCCTCCCCCATCCTCCTCCACCACGACGGCAATTTGCATGTGAGTGTACCTGGAACTTCCCCCTCTCTCCCCTCCTCCCTCCCTCCCTCCCCTGTCTCCTTGCCCTCCTCGTATCTCTCCTTGTTACCAGCGAGACGTTGCGCCCTCTGGCCTTTGGTCGCGTTTGAGGCGGAGCACGACCTTGCTTTGAGCGCATCTTGGAGAACGACCCCGGAGGACTCGACTTTGCGGCGGGGAAGTCGTAAGGATAGTTCCGCGCAAAACTCTCTATACTGTCCTTGACAGGCGATAACATTTCGTCCACGTTGAGCATTTCATTTTGTCTTTTGTCTATGAGGAAGTTGCCCAACAAGAGGTGTGATGGAGATAACAGAGGAACAATAAGAAGGTCAACCTGGTCAACAGGAGGTGGCAGCGTGGCGTAGCGGTGTCCGCCGTGTAGCAGAACGCAGTCGTGTCAGTCGACCTCGACCACGACCACTGTGTGTTTGGCTTAGCCGCGAGTGGATGTGTGATCATCGCTGATCATCGGCTCTCACGTACATACTAGGCCAAGTTTTGTAAATTTTTAAAAGTTTGATGTGTCTAGATTCTATTGGAGTAGCAGTCTTGTGTTAAAAAGTGGTTGTGTAATATTTGGCTTCGGAAAAGTAAGTTTCGAAACCGTCCCGGTGCGTGCCCGTTGTATAGGTTGCGTACATATTGCATTGTTACTATTCTAACTTAATGACAATGACTCAACTCTCATAATAAACCTTGATCAAGGTGCTACATGCATCAGGACCCTTCTGAACTGTTTGAAATCTAACGACACGCAACCCAACATCTGCTAACCTGTCCGTCGCTCACCATCTTGCTTTGTTTAGGGATGGCGCTAAGCCAACGCCACCCCGCCAGCGCTACCTTCCTTCCTCTTATTGGGCAACTCTTCCTCATAAAGGTATGTACCATATATCTATATAGACATATCATTGTGTATGTGGCTGAAAAACAACGTCGAGCGGGTGGATTCGTGTCTGCGTACCAACCATTTGGCGCCTTGCAGCCACGTGGGTAGGCAACCCCCCCCCCCCAACACAACAAATTACAAGCAGTTGCCTGCATGTAATTTGGCCGTGTCATAAATTATAACTTAGACTAATTTGTACTAGCAGCATAGGATGTTTTTTTTTATACATGCATTCTTAATGCCATATCAGACTGGCGTGCGAGTGCGAGTTGTGTGTGTTTTTTGTGTTGTGTGGAGCCTATTTCTATTTCATGCACACGAATTGGGGGATTGGAAGGGGGGGGGGGGGCTGAGCGTGGCGCTGCTGAGTGTGTTGTGTTGTGGAATTGGGTGGGTTTGGCCAGCTGAAATCTAATTTCGCTTTTTGCGAGACACGTGTAGCTCCGGCCCGCGGCGCCAGAGCGCCGGCGGCGGCGGCCTACCCCACCCCGCCTTACCCCCG